GGAGGTGTAGGTGGGAAAACCAGACAGGAAGTGGAAATGATGCAAGGAGAGCAGGAGAATTCTGGGAAGGAGGAAGCTGATTCCTCCCACTCCTGCCCAGACCACTGAAGCAACAAGATGTGAGCTGCCCCATTGAAAAAGGTACTGAGCCACATGGCTAAAATAAATCAGAAAAATGGGTTAATCAAGATGTGAGAGTTAGCTAATAAGTAGCCTGACCTAACGGGCCAATCAGCTTTATAACTTATAGAGATCTCAGTGTGATTTTTCTCTGGGACTAAACAGCTGGGGGTACCGGGCAGGACAGAAAAACACAAACAAGCAGGCCCCTCATTGTTACAGCTAAGTATATTTTATTTGCACACAGAAATTAGAGAGAGGTCATGAGGTAAGGCTATAAATTCTCAAAGACCTGCCACCCAACACCACCCTGTGAATACTTCCTCCAGCAAGGCTCCATGTACCAAAGGTTCCATAAGCTCCCCAAACAGTGCCACCAACTGGGGGCCAAGTGTTTGGACTGATGCATGTATAGGGGACACTTCTCATTCAAACCACCACACTCAGACTGAGATTTTTTTCAGAAATATTCTTTGAATCACTCTTCAGAGTTGCTCTTGAGTATTGAACCCTCACTTTGGTTATGTCTCTAAGACCTGTTTTCTATGGCCTTGTCGTTCTCATCTGTCCTCCTCACCTGTCCTTGGTGATTATTATGATACATAAATTCTGCTTTCCTGTCGTGTTAATGTTTCTTCATAAGGTGACAGTTACTGAGTTTTCCTCTGTTTTTGTTTGTTTGAACTAAATTTGAGATTTTCTGTTTAGGCTGCTCTTCAGGTCCTACGTGACTTTTCTAATGTGTCTGTCTGTGTAAATGCCCTTGGAAATGGGCTATGGTTCATCTGATTTTTAAAAACTATTTTTATTTTCCCCAACATAATATTTTTATTAATTACTTGAAAATTTTATAAAACAAAACCACATCACACTTGCTTCACATTCCCCCCAGGTTCACCTTCCCACCCTGCTCCCTCCCTAAACAAACAAACAAAAACCAAACCAACCAAGTCCAATCTACATTGCCCATCTATCGCTGGAGCATAGTCAAACTCCCAGTGGCCAGCTCCAAAACTCCTGGTCCCCACCCCTGCCAGGAGTCATCAACAATGAAGAGCTACACTTCCGCATCTTTATCACAGTTTTAAAAACTCCCTTCAATGTCTTCCAGTTTAGACTGTTTTTTTTTCTTGTTGGGGAGGGGAGAAGAGATTCTCACAGAAGCCTTCACTATCTTACTTATGACTCTACAGTCATTGATTCCACTGCAAACGAAGCTTTCTTGCTCATAGAAACCGGTAGGCAGCATGGACTTGTGCATGGCTTCTGGCTACAGCACAGATCATGGACAACAACATAGTTTCTGGCAGTAGCACAGATCATGGACAGCAGCATGGCGCCTGGTGACAGAAAGGACTACTGAAGTCTTTTGAGGAGACTTAATCCAGAAAATAAGACATTCTTCATCTTAATATCTTGTTGCTCAGTGTTGTGGTCAGGGTGATCAGCCTCTGGGTAGTGCACTCAGGGGCTGGACCTGCCTGAGTTCCAGGCTATTGTACACCACCCCATCATCAGCACTGGCAGTGCCATGAGCATCCTGGGCATGACAGTAGTGCGTGTTCTCCTCCCATAAGCCAGCGAGCAGCAAGGCCGGCAGTAGTAGGTGCTCCATGCCCCAGGCCGGGCCTGCAAATCCAGCTGCCACATTGACCGAGTGGGCGGTGATTTGATGGTGGGCCTGAGTCTCCTGGCAGCCCGAGACCAGGTCTGCTCAGCATGCGACATGGTCCTTTGTCTCTAGTTCTTCTTTTCTCCACAGTAAGCATTGACATCTTTTTTTCTCAATCCCGTGAAACCACTTTTTAGAAGCATCTTTCCATGAGACCTGTCATTTTCTGGTTGCTCGACAGATACTGTATGCTTTGCCAGCTCATCTTCCACCATCTCAGTCTGAAAAGGCTCCACGAGTCTCTCTGGCTCTTCAAAGCTGCCCTGTAGCCCCTTGGTTGCTGGCAGCCACTGCTACGTTCTTTGCAATAGAAAAACCCAAGTCCCGTTCCTTGCCACTGGACCATAGTGGCTGCAAGTCCATAGTGGCTGCAAGGCTGAGAGCAAATGCAGGCAAGATTTTTGGTTATTGTTTTTATTGAGTTATACATTTTTATCCACTTCCCTCTCTTCCTCCCCCTCCCCTTCTACCCGTTCCCATGACCCCCATGCTCCCAATTTACTCAGGAGAATTTTTTTCTCCTTTCTATGTATATCCTTATGTGTACATTTGTGCTTTTGTGTGTGAGCATGTGGATTTAACTTTGGGTAAATCATCAGATCCCATGAAACTGGAGTTATAGACAGGTGTGAGCCACAATGTGGGTCTGGGGGATCAAGTCCAGATCTTCTGGAGGAGCAGCCTGTGCTCTTAATCACTGAACCATCTCTCTAGCCAGGCTCCCTCCCAATCTGATTTTGAGCATGATTTTCTGTGCCTTTATTGTCCACACAGGAGTGATAGAATTTCCTGAATCTTTTGATTTCTTCAACTTCACTCATAGAGGATTTGATGACAACACTTTTTTCCCTGTGAATTTAGTCTGGGCCTTTGCTGGCTTTCACATACCTCTTGTAACATCAATGAACTCGCTGTCTGAGCTCTGCTCACTCTATTCTCCTCTCTTCTATTTGGACTTTTCCTTCACCTCTTTTTCAATATTATGTTAAAATTTTGTTTTAAGATTTATCCTCATTGTGGGACTCTGTTAAAGTCCTTACTTGTTAATCTTAAGTACTTTATATACTTGATAAAATGTTTTAAAACATTTTGTTTCAGATTTTAGAGATATTAGCCCTTTCCACTGTTGATTACACATTCAGTTTTAGTCACCACCTTCAAATGAGACTACTCCATGTTGTAGTGAATATCTGCAAGCTGTCAGTGTCCTTTGGCATAGAGCTTGGGAGGTATAGACAAAAAATGAGATAGGGACAGACACCATTGTGTAGCAATTTCCTCTAAACAGGCATTCTACAGGAGGGATGCTCATTACCACTCAGGAAGTGAACAACACACAAGTCTCAGGAGGTCTCTGAAACTTATCAAGTTCACAAGGTCCTCCTGTACACAAGGTTATAAACGAAGTAAGAATTACTGAGGAACGAAGATTCTCTGACCTGTCAAGGTGCCTGCATGTTATGCAGAGTACCAGCTTTAATGTGTTTCACCCATGCTAGGGTGGGCTTTGGATAATACAGTTGCCTTTGAGTAGACTTTTCCATCCTATTTGCTTACTCTCCTTCCACCCCAATTAATTTTCTTTTTCAAAATAATCTTCGCTTTAATGAATTTATTGTCATCTAGAACATGATCATTTACTGCTCAATTCTTATGAAGTTTAATCTTAGGTTGTTTGGGTTTTTGAAAGAGGGTCTCACTGTGTAGCCCTGGCTAGCCTAGAACTCACTATGTGCACCAGAATAGCATTGAACTCACAGACATCTACCTGCCTCTGCATCTTGAGTTTATGAGATTAAAGCATATGCCACCATGCCTACATCTGATTAAAACATTTTACACAACTTTTTAAAAATGTTTTTAATCTCTCTATTGATGATATAGAAGGAGCGTGCAAAACTCCTCTTTAAATGGGCCAGGCAGTAAATACCTTAGAACCACACCATCCCTGATAATATGAATTAACCCAGTCATTTCTATTACTGCACAAAGCAGCTATAGATTATAATTTACAAGTGAAAGAGGCTACAATATTACAAATAAAAGCAGGCCATGGTGTGCTACTTAGAGGTAGCTGAAGAGTCATAGAGAATTAAATTTTACAAAGGTACCTTGAAGTCTGACTTTGTAATATCTTTTCTAGTATTATTTCCAGTAAACTATTATAATTCTATGGAGGCAAACAAGTAATTTTGTCTTAGCTGTCCAGTATTATTAGCAATGATTGTACTTTGTATTCTTACACTATCACCAGCTAACTCGTCAGCGATAGTGTTGATGGCTTTGTTAATGGGCTCTCCTTTTCCACCCTCAAATATAATGTGTTTTTTCTAAAACCTGTTCCTTATCATGTTCAGCCTTCAGCGAGGACAGTTGCATGGATAGCATTTACAATACCGTCAAATTCAGGCTGCTTTGTAATGACACCATTACTCCTACTTTTGGATCACAGCTAGAGACTGAGTGGTCTGAGCCATCCATCTTTCCTCCCCCGTCCACTGACCCATTTTTGCCGAGTGGACACATTCCAACTCTTCTCCTTCAGTTTTTCAAATCTCAAGACAATACAGAGGAAAATTAAGTCTTTCCAGGGCTTAGAAAAAAACTAATAGGAAATGGAAATTTCATTTTAGATTTTTCAAGGTGTTTTCCTTTGAGATTTTTCAATAAAATAAATCATTGAAATGGCTTGAGTCATAAATGTGAACTTCATTGGAAGCTGAATGATATAGAGAGAATAAGAGTGAAAAGACTGAAGGAAAAATAAATTAGTAGGAGCGGTGTGAGGATAAAATATGTAGTACTTATTTCTGAAAAGCCTTGGTCTAACACTTAAGCCTCGTTAAAATATTTATTTAAAGTTGAAAGTTAAGAAATATCTATGCTTATTTATAAATATTTTTAAACTTTCTTTAAATCAGCTTTCACACCCTCACGAAGGTGCCAATGAGAGTTGCATATTCCCACCCGAGGTGGAAAGTGACTCACTATTAGCAGTGTTCCAGTTAACCTCAAGTTTCTACCTTGCAGTAAACCTTCAAGAATGAAATAGAAACAAATCCAATTACTACTCCCATGTTTATTACTTATATCCCTGAAGAACTGAAAGTAGTCCAGCTGTAAAGATAATGAAACACATTTTTAAAAAAGGTATGCTCATCAAGACATGAAATCACAATATCCTGATAAATAAAAATACTTCAGGCAATACATAGAAAATATTTTTAATTTAATAACACACAGTCCATCTTGGGAACATTATTCTGTATTATATTTATTATCTTATAGTAACAGAATGAAAATACAGTTATAGATGCAAATATTTAAAACCAATAATCAAAATGATATTTTTGTTCAGCATAGACTATTATGCATATAAACAGTATAAATAGCTATTATCATCAACTTGAGTTAATGCCAAATATATGGCATATAATTATGTTTATAATGAGACTTATCAATCCTAATTTAACCAATTCAAGTATTCATTTAACCAAAGCAATAAGCCTCTTAAAAGTTTAGGATTTATAATTTTAGGAATTTTCAGTATGATTCACAGCTCTTATCCTACTGAATTGACTGTACAATACCCTTATCAATTGTTTTGTGGCTTATAATTAGGAACGACTGACTGATCGCCAAAACCCCTTAACCAAAGAATCACTATAACTGTCTGAGCCAGAATCCTGATATGATGAATATAATAATGGCCAGAAGTTTTTAACAAGAATATAGAATTTTCACTTTCACAACTACGAATTTAGTTTTCTAAAATCTAGTTCGAATGTCCAGAATCTAAATCTTTCTACAGAAGAAAGAAACAACTTAATGGACCTCTGGAGAAAAAGAGAGAGGAGGGGGAGAAAGAAGGTAGGGAGAGAGAAAGAAAATAAAGCTGTTTTTTAGATCTTAGTTTGAAAAAAAATGATTTAACAAGTACTAAAAAATGACTCAAACTTACATAGCAATATCATTACATTAAAGTTTATTTGCTAGCTAAAGATTAAGAGGCAAGTACCATATAATACTTGCTTCTGATAAAGCAGACAGAATGGTGTGTTAACTGTTAGGGTAGGGTAGAAAAGAAGTTTGGGCCTGACAAACATTTCCATTGAATTTACAGATCAACAAGCATTTTTGTTTGGAACTGTTCACCGGTGTGCTTGTGTGAGGGCAAAGAGGGACTCTGTTCACCAACAAGGTGTTTCTCAGGGTAGCAGGACAAGGGCCTGGCTGCTCCAGGAAGGTAACTGTTTCATGGAAATCCCTAGGGCATTCTGGGACTATTCAAGTATAGGACACGAAAACCATTTATATTGAAAGTCAATCCATCCTAGTTAGAGTCCTTTTGAGTTACTCGGTTGCCAGCTGAGAGTATGGACTCTAGCTTCTCTAAAGCCCGTCGGCAATATCTGCAAAATGCCTGTGAGAGGTCAGCATATTAACCTGCCATTTAGTGGCCCCACGTTCTTAAGGCTTGTAAGGCTTGGGGATTTTCTGAGGTTGTTGGTCACCTTTCCAAATAAAAGCTTAATGAATATATTTAAGTCTTTTATTGAATTCTAAAATCCCTTAACCCAAACAGCTAAGCTGAGGTTATTTCATGTAACTTTTGCTCCACTGAAAGACATGGGTGGGTATTTTGCTATTGTTCAGAAAGATCAAGTGAAACAGTTTGCTCTGTGCCCAGAGATGCTGCCTTCAGTGAGATTTCAGAGAGAAAATCAGAGGGCAAAGAGCACGGCCAGCAGCGCCTTCAGCACAAGCTTCTTGGTAATCTCAAGTGAGAGGCGCAGTCTTTCTCAACTCAAAGCCAGAAGATTCTGAAGAACTTCAAGCACAATTTCATAACAAAAGTGATACTGCTCCTGCACACACACAAATGACAGAGTTAAGGAACCAGAAGCCAAGGTCTCCTTCGGGAGTACACAGCTGCAACATAAGAAAATTCCCCTCAGAGATCAAATGTTGTCTACAAACCCTTGAGAGCTTCTTTAAGCAAGTATGTATTTAAATATGAAGAACATAAATAATCAAAATAAATGTCTTGGTCTAGGACTCTTTAGCAGACAAGTATCTAAACAGAATGAAATGAAATATCTCTTTCCTTATGTCTTCTCTAGCTAATCTAAGGCTCTCATGTAAGTTTAAAATCTCAAATATATACAACTGTTATATAATATATAACCAAAAATATCCCTAGTTATATATACATATTATATATAGTATACATATCAGTTCAGAGGCAACTGCTTTTATTATAAATATTCTCTTTATTTCCTCTGGTGCTTACAAACTAATCTGTGATATTAAAAAATATCTTTTTACAATGTCCCAATAACCGACAGACAGGTGATAGATAGATAGATAGATAGATAGATAGATAGATAGATAGATAGATGCAAATACACATTTCAAATTACTGTCTAGAAACTTAGAAATAACATTTGATATACTGCTTATGTGGAATGGCTTTGTGGTCAAGGTCTGTGATTTCAGTCTCAGTGCCAAGTCCTCACCTTGCTCTCTCTGTAACCCATGGAACAGACTCCATTGCTGGAAATCTAATGTACTTCATCAAGGTTATCAGAGCAAATCAACTCCGCCAAAGTTAAGAATTAATGCTATCACAACAGTAAAAAGAGCACTATGAACTGTGAAGTGCTGCAGTACACTAATCTGTGTCTTGGCTGTCCTTATTAAGGTTTATGAGAGGAGCACCTACCTTTGTTTGGATCATGCCACTACGCTGTTTTCTCATCTGGGTCACTATGTTCATAATGTTGAACTGAAATGAGATGGCGGTAACTGAATTATCCAGACAGAGGAAAAACACCAACTCATATGTAGAGTACTCAAGTGAGCACTCTATACCTCCTTCTAGTGAAAAGGGACGTCAAGATGTAACCAGAAAAGTCTCCTTCCCAGTCAGTGTATGTTTGAAAGCACAGCCCAATGACTAAGAGGGACTTATTTTAGTCAACTTCTCACAGGGAAGAAGTAAGCCATCACTTACAACAAAGAGTGTTCCCAAAAGATGCCCCCCTTTGTGCTAACAGGGAGAACTGAAAGCAGCATGTGCTCACTTATGAATGTACATTTAGAACCCAGAGGTCAACTTTTGGTCTTATCCCTTGAGAGTTGTCCACCCTATTTTTTGAGACAGTTTCCTTTTGGGACCAAGTGTTTTTATATACCTAAGTCCACACTCTATGTTAAGCATTTAAGTATAAGGTTTTAATTAAGTATAATATAATATAGTTTAAATTATAATATAAATTGTAATATAATTTAATAAAGTATAAGGTTTTAATTAAGATTTATTTTACCTATTTTTGTATTTATTGGGTATGAATAACCATTTGTTCCAAGACCATTGTTGAAAAGGTTATTCTTCCTACACAGAGTTGCTGGGACACTTTTATTTAAAATCGTTTGGAGCATTCTGGCTCTGCAGCTTGTTCCATTGATCTGTGTGTCTTATTTTGTTGCTAGTATCAACTTTTGTATCTCTTTAACTACACAAAATATTTAATATTAGATAGAGAAATTCTTTACACTTTATTCTTACATTTCAAAATTGTCTTAGCCAGTTCAGAATCTGTGTTTTCCAACATATACATTTTATTATTAGTTTGTGTCTTAGTTAGGATTTCTATTGCTGTGATAAAAAGCAAGCATCTTGAGGAGAAAGGGTTTATTTCTGCTTACAGTGCCATGTCATACACAGTAAATCACTGGCAGTAAATCAGAGCAGGTACTCAAGGCTGGAAGCAGGGTTTCTTAGTTTCATTCCCATCACCAACCTACCCAGAGATAGCACAATTGACAATGGGCTAGGCCTTCCTATGTCCAATAATAATCAAGAAAGGCCAATATTATAGAGGCGTTTGCTCAGTTAAGATTTCTTCTTCCAAGATATGTCTCTAACATCTGTCAAGGTGATACAAAAGTAGTCAGCACAGCTTGCTGATAGAATTGTGATAAAAATTACCTGCAGTCTATATGTGAATTTTTGGGAGAACTGACAATTTCCAGTATTTTCATGAATTTAGAAAATCCATGAACATACTATATATTTCTTCATTTATTATTTTTTTACATTCTTTTGTAAGTATTCTACAATTTTCTGAATTATGTTGTTGTGTTAAATTTATTCTATTTCACTTTCTTTGAGTAAATTGTAAATTTATTATTTTTACTTTCATTTTTCACATACTTATTGCAATAAAAATGAAATATAGAAATGCAAGTGGCTTTTTCATATTGATATTGTATCCTGTGATCTTGTCAAGCTTAACAAGTTACTTAACAAGTTAACAAATTAACAAGGTTAGCAGTTACTACAAGATCACAACAGAAAAAGAGAACAAAGTTTGCTGAGAATATTTGACAAACTTTTAATGTTTCTTCAAGACAAGAACTAGTTTGCTTTCAATGTTTTAAGGGTTTTTTATCCTAACTTTAAATAACAATAAAAAGACATAAATGGTTACATAGTTTCCTATTTTTGTTTTGTTTTGTTTTTCAAGACAGGGTTTCTCTGTGTAACATTGGCTGTTCTGGAACTCTGTAGACCAGGCTGGCCTTGAACCCAGAGATCCACCTGCCTCTGCCTCCTGAGTGCTAGTATTAAATGTATGAGCCGCCACCACCCAGCTCAAACTGTCTTTTGCACCCCAGTTTAGGAGAAAAGTAAGGGATTGCTAATGTTTGGCTCACACCCGTGTATAATTCTCTCCTCATTTTATGCTAAGAAAACTGACTTTTAGGGCTAAAGAAACAGCTCCATGCTCAAGAGAGAAAACTGCCCTTGCAAAGGACTTGAGTTCAATTCCCAGTACCCATGTTGAACAACTCACAACTATCTGTAACTCCAGCTTCAGGAAAATCTGATCCCTTTAGTCTCTCCTGGCATGTGCACATACACACATACACATTGTTAGAAATGTTAAATCACAAAACATAAAATAATACAGCTGATATTTGAGAGAGGATGAGCAACCTATATAAAGTCACCCATACCTAAAGCATATAGTAAAATTATCAGTTAAGCCTAGGAACCTCTCATTAACTCTGAGCTCAACATGTTTTCAGTATACATGCATGTCAGATTTGTTCATGGAAAGCAATCACACTTCACTGAAATTACCTAGAAAAATGGTAACGCCATAAGTGGCACACAGAGGAAGGAAATGATTGCACGCTTACAGAGTGTCCATTCCTTTGCATACTAGCCTAGTCATTTACTTGTATAATATTCTTTAATCCTCCCCACTATTCCCAGGAGCCTGCAGCAAGCACAGTGAGAATGAGGTCTCCTAAGCTACTGCGCATCTGATGTGCTCCACTGGTCCAGGTCAGTCTTCCAATAACACCAGGCTGTTAAGAACTGTGTTTAGAGACAGCATCAGTCCATCTGCTTCATCACACACTTACTGAGACGTTCTTCTCGATGGCACAGAACACGACATCCACACATATGAACACCCCCGTACGGCCTACGCCAGCACTACAATGAACAACCAGGGGTCCTGTGATGTGGCTCTTCCTCACATAACGGACGTATTTGATGAAAAAGTCTGCTGAGGCAGGAGTGCCATGGTCTGGCCATTTTGTGAACTGCAAGTGTTTTACACAGTGACTCATTCCTGTCTATTAAAGAGACACAGAGAGGTTTATTGATTTCTTATATTAGAGGTCTCATTTCAACTTCTAATATACCAACAACAATGACAACAATGATGATGGAGATAATGAAAGCTGACATATGGAGCATTCAGAGTACTGAAACCTAATTTTGATGCTTACAGAAACTCTGGAAATTGTCAGAGTTAGCTTTTCTCCATCTAAACAAGGAGAAAATACCATAATAAAAACAATAAAAATAAAAATCCTCTCAGGAGGCAGGAATTCAACACTTGATCTACACGAGGTAATGTGGCAGAAATTTCACATCGGTTATCTAATTTAATCCTTATATCATTTTTAGAGGCCAGGGTTGGGAGGTAAGTGCTAGGTCACAAAGCTTCCATAGTTAGAGTTTGGATTTGGATGTATGCCTTCCAAATTCTAAGCTACCTTCTTTCTTCTCTACCATGAGGCTTCAGAAAAACCAAGATTTCAAAGTACTTAAAAGTAAAAAATAGGCTGACACATTCAGAAGGGTCTGCACATTCTGGTACAGTAGTCAAACTTAGGCATGGTTGACATGGTTTCAAAACCCTCTTCGTGTCATAAGTCACAAATCCTAAGCATCTTATTAAGTGTGGCAATTTTATTTAAAACAAAACAAAACAAACAACAATCCCACCTGTGAGTGTTTCATCCCAGTTACCACTCATTAAATTTATGTTCTTTTGAAGAAATAGGGCATTTTATGTTCTAGCTGGTCCCTGCTTTATGTTTATAGTCACACTTTATTTCTCATTGTTCCTTAATAATGAATGAATTTACATCCCAGAGCATTTAACTTATATGTGTATGGAACTGTGTGTATGTGTGTATGTATGTGTGTGTGTGTGTGTGTGTGTGTGTGTGTGTGCGCGCGCGCACGCACCTAAGGCAATTTCTTTTTAAACTGTCTGCTTCCTTTCCTTCCCATCTAGGTCCTGCAGGGTCCCGGTGTGATGCTGCCTCCAGTCGTCCTTTTCTCCGCCTTCAGGTAACTCTAGGATTCCCCATCTTAGCCCCAAAGCACCCCATGGGAGTCCAGTCACTGTGGCTTAGCACAGCAGCTCAAGAACGGTAAAATACAGATATCTCCTGGCTCACTGCATACGGTGGAATCCAGCAGTAGTAAGCACGCTTGTCTGGGCAGAAGCCATCTAGTGCCCACTCCTTGACCTATTTTCCCTCTCCATTTTCTTTTCTCTCCAGTTAAGACTAAGCAGAAGTGAAAATTTATAGCTCCATTTTTAGAGAAAAGAGGCTAAAAGTTACTTTTATTTTTCTGTTAGAGAGGGGTCTCTCTAAATAGCACTAGCCGTCCTGGAATGCTCTCTGTAAACCAGGCTGGCCTCGAACTTAAAGAGACCGTCCTACTTCTGCCTCTGGAATGCTGGGATTCAAGGCATGCACCACCACCACTGATCATGGTTACATTTTTCCCTTTTATTTATTTATTTATTTATTTATTTATTTATTCTTCATTCCAACCACAGCCTCCTCTTCCTCCACTCCTCCCAACACCCCCTTTACCCTATCTCAGATCCATGGCTCCTCCATTTCCCTTCAGAAAAGAGCAGGCCTCCCAGGGTTATCAAGCAAGCACAGCATACCCTTAGCGCATATTCTACCCTAGTGGAATATGGCAGCTTCTATCATAAAGCATGCATCTACTAGTGGCAATTTAAGACTTACAGACTTCTTCACAATTTGAAATATTCGAATGATGAAATACTGAGTTATCTGGCAGTTCTCCAGAAGGATGCGCAAGTGTTTCAATTCCAAAGGTTCCTTCAAAGAAATGGGCCAGTACCCCTCACACTTGATAACTCCACCTTCTATCTCTCTGGTTATCATAGCAATAACATTACAATTATTTTCCATAACCATTTGCCAAAAGTCTTCTATAGTCTCTGGCAGTGGTCCTTGAGTAGCAATATAAAAATACTCTTCTTCATGATTTTCTATTCTAATATAACTAGCATTGATGTAGTTCTTGTTTTTTCCAAGAGGAACACGTGTTGAATCATCTATTATAGAAACAGAAACATGTGGTGAAAACATGGAAGACAATCCATCTAGACTTCATAAAGCATCCCACATAGGTAAATCCATGACCCTCCCCTCAAAAACTGGCACACAAGATTCTTTTCAAAGGGGCTAAGTTTAAATTCACTCCTCCATAAAATCTATTTGCAAGACATGAGAAATACACAGTCAGGAGGATACTGAGAGCAAGAGCCATCACCAGCACCCAGCACCTGTGAAATACAGCAGTATTAGACCCAAGGGTGTCTGGTGACAACTATTCTGCAACTGAGTACAGCAGCTGTCAGAAACAATAGTGAGTGACATTCTCCTGAAAATCAGGGAAATCTGTACATATATGGCAGCAGAGACCACAGTTTTTACAGAATGGCATGATAATGGTTTAGCAATGAATTCTAGTATTAATGGAATTCCACCAATGCCCTTATTGCAGCCAGGCAGCCATATTTTCCAATCCTTCCTCAGCTTTCACTGGATGAGGTAATGTGCCAATCAAAACAAGATGTGGTGGTTTGAATGTAACTGGCCCCTATAAGCTCACAAGCAGTGGTTCGGTTAGGAGGTGTGGCTTTGTTGGAAAAGGTATGGCCTTGTTGGAGGAAGTGTGTCACTGCAGGGTGGACTTTGAGGTCTCATATATGCTCAAGCCATGCCTAGTGTCTCAGATCACTGCCTGTTGCCTGTGGGTCAAGATGTAAGACTCTTAGCTCCTCTCCAGCACTATGTCTGCCTGCATGCCACCATGTCACACCATGATGATAATGGACTAAGCCTTTGAAAATGTAAGTCATCCCAGTTAATGCTTTTCCTTTATCAAACTTGCTCTGGTCATGGTGTCTCTTCACAGCAATAGAAACCCTAACTGAGACAGACACAAGGTAAGTAGCAAAATGGTGGTACTGAGCATGGGACTTGTCTCACACTGTTAGAAAGTACGAGAGGGAAACTGGCATTTGGCCCATAATAAACGTCACCGTCCAGGAGCTCTCAGTTTACTGCACGCAGACATCTGGAGCTCTGTTCCACCACTGCTCCCATGACAAAAGCATCAGTGTGCTCAGCTCAGGGCCTTCCTGCTACAGTGTTCTTCTCACCAGCTACTTCTCCTACTACTCAGGATGTCATGAGCAGTCATTTAGCAACTACGCTATGCTTAGTGGTCACCAAACAAGGTCTGTGGCTTCTGACAGAATCTGTCTTGAATTCCAACGTAGTATACAGAACTCTCTTATAAAGATGAACAGGAAAATCTGTTGCTAAACATAGAAAAACACCAAATATTTTCAAATGGAAGCAAGATCAGTACATGCTGTTAACTGACAGGCCATCTCTTCATCCAGAATGTACTTTATATAAACATTATCAGTGTTAAAAAAGGAGACTAGAAGTGTTAAATAATTCAACAAAGTCTAGCTTAGAGATACAAACCAGAAGTACTCAATTCAAACTCCTGCCCTGCTTGTCCCATTCTATGCAGCCTCTTGTAGGCTTCACAAATCCAAGCAATTATTACATGCTTTGTGATTCTCAAGAAAGAGTCAGCGTTGCAGAAAGTCATGACTTGACTTGGAATAACATTAAAGAAGAGAGTTGTTAACAGCTTAAGGTCAATGTCATGGAAGTAAACAACTACTTTCTGATTGGATTAAAGGTACACTCCATAAGATGAAACCCATACTGGACACCATTAGCAGCCAAGAACTAATGGCTAGACAGTCACAGACCCTAGGGTAAAACCTACTACGATGGCTGCTAAAAGGCCAGAGTATTAAATCAAGTCCTAATGACCCATCATTATACCCATATATTAAAGTATCTCTCAATCCTCATCAGAGGCATTTACATTGATAGTAGATAGTGATCAATGCAGAGACCCACAATTGGGCAAAACCCCTAATTGAGAATAACAAACCGCAGAATGAATATACACCCCACTCTTCCCTCCAAAGGTTCGGGCTCCACTGTAGAAGAGGATACACAGGAACATAAGAGCCAGAGAGGTAAAGGGCAACAGGAATGTGCTTTGTGGATACAGCAGGCAGTTGCATTTATGAACTCACAACGGTTGTTGCAGCAGACATAAGACCTCCGAGAGCCCAAGTCAGACCAAATGCCAGCATGGAGAGGAAAGTTGGGTGCAAAGTTCCACCCCTAGCTAAGGCGCTACTGGCAACTGATACTGCTGGAAGAAGTTTTCTCTAAGAGTGTGCTGAGACGTAGACCATGCTCCAACAAAAGGCCCACACATTCCAGAACGTTTAGACAGACCAGGTTGGTCTTTATGGGGAAGGGGAGGACATAAGTCTAGGTGGAAAGAGAAGGGGTGGGTCTAGGAAGAGCTGGGGAAGAGTGAATGTGACCAAAGCATAAACAAAATCCTCAGTGACCTAATAAATATATCTCACCACCACCACAACAGAGACAATGAGAAGTCACACAGTCAGGAAGCAAATATTGTGCTGATGGCTTATTAAAGTGATGTTGTTCCTGTGTGTACCCCTTAATCCCTGAACCCTGGCTACAGCAAGGACTGTGTATACACACAGTCTCCTAGAGAATACTGTCCCAGGAAGAGAATGTCTCCTATTTAGCACTGTAATTGTCTTCAAAAGAGTATCCAATCACTATATCAATCAAGTAAGTCTCCCCAGAATGGTGAGTTCCTTTGGGTAGCACACCCATGATGGTGTGTAAGGCATTCTGTAGGTCTACAGAAGGTATATTTGGGAAAAGCACTGTGTCTAGGTAAGAAAAATCCACATTCAGAGCAAATTTATATTTTGTTTTAAAAAAATCACTATCTCTTCCAGATAGAAGTGGCTCAATTATAACCTACCATCTCAAGGAAGGGTTTCATGTCAGGGACTCAGTGCTGGTCCAATGTTTCTGGAAGCCCAGATACTCATCAATGGTTGCTCTTGGTAAGTGGCAGGAAGTCTATAAAACTGAATCCATACATAACCTCCAACAATGCTGAGTAGGCTGTCTTTTTTTTCAGGAGCTATTGAAAACTGGCAGGGTAATCAGGGAAAATGACTGCTGTTCATAGAACAATATCCTATCTGCATGGCTACTGTCCCCGTTGAAGTCACTCTTCATGAGCACTTACATGAGGCATCAGGATCTATGTGGGCTGTGCTCATTTAGAAAGCTCTAGCTACATACATTTTCCTAGACTTCCTCTTAGTAATTTTTCAGTCATATTTTTTCTAAGGTCTTGATCATCCACCCAGTTGAGGCACTGGCTTTCACCTAAGCTTACCCTCCAACCATTTCTCTCCAAGAAAAAAATGAACAACCAAGTACACCAACCAAAGTTATTCCCTCACCATTACACTTCATAGATGTCTCAAAAACTATCTATCTATGGTGGTGCAATTGTCAAGTGACACAGTAGATCTATGGAAACAATACAGGCCACGTAAAACCTTCCCTTTGCTTCCCTTTGGGAACTTTTCATAAGAACACAGGTACAAGCGAGGGAGAGAAAGCAGTGTACCAGGAATGAGGATCATAGGTACTTAGACAGTTTTTTCATGGAATTTATTTGTGCCTTCAAGGTTGCGAGGGGTTGAGTGAGGATGACCCCCATAGGCTCATAAGTTTGCATGTCTGTTCTGCAGGTGGTGGGACTGTTTTCAGGAGGTTAGGAGGTCCTGTCTTACTGGAGGTGGTGTGTTGCTGGATAGGCTTTGAGAATTCAAAAGCCCATGCCACTTCCCAGGTCTCTTTCTTTGCCTTGTACTTGTGGATCAGGTGTGAACTCTCAGCTACTGTTCAAGTGCCATGCTGGTCTGACTGTTAACATGATGTTCATGGATTCTAACACTCTGAAATCATGAACTTCCAAATTAAATGCTCTCTTTTATAAGTTGTCTTGGTCATAATGCTTTGTCACAGCAATAGAAAAGTAACTAAGATAAGTGTCTACTGGAGAAGAATCTCATGTCTACCATTTTTCTCTGATTATCAAGTGCTATTGTGTATACCCAGCTTAATAGCTTGCTTATTCACGTAGAAGCAATCTCTACTTAGTTCTCTTCTATGCAGTCTCTGCTAAGGTGTAATAGTAGGCTAAGACCTGCCTCTCCAAAGGAAAGCAGTTCACAGAGGGATTGCAGGGCATTCCTTCAAAATCCTAAGAGGCTTTGGAGCACTGCAACAGGTTCTAAACAGCACAACTGCCACCAACCATTACATCTTCTGAATTCAAGTGGCAGAGTCTTCCACTGTGGTCCTCATTTGTTGCAAAACCTTCCACGGTGCTCTATATTTGTGGCAGAGCCTTCCACTGCGGTCTACATTTGTGACAGAGCCTTATATACAGTGTCTACTTTTGTGGCAGGGCCTTTTTGAGAATTCCCATCTAAAAGAGGCTAGAGAGGCTCAAGAGACATTGTGACATCATTTTTGGCTTGAGAAGCCTTATATAGTAATTTATCCTTCTTCATAGAAGAGAGTATTTCAAATTGTCCCACAAATTTGGACCCCTTGAAATTTCAACCACAGAAGTTTCTTTTAAGTGTATTTTCCATTTTCTGATATGAAAATGTGTTACAAAAAAGTCTAGACTATTTGCTACTGTTTGCTCACCATAATAGCCTATAGAAGGAAAAGACATTGAAAGTCCTTTGAACTAAATTACGACAGAACTGAGAAGCTAATCTATCCTGAGTTCAGACAGTGGAGTGAAAACGAACTATTTCTAGTCCATACACCTCCTCAAAAAGTCTTCTCAAATCTTTTGCTCATTTGTTGTTCAATTGTTGTTCTTTGAGTCATAGAAGTTCTTACTATATTATAAATGCATATCCTTTATTAAGTAGATTTTTGAACTTATTTTTTTCTAGACTGCTATTTGCCATTTTGTTTTTAAGATGGCATAATTGGAAGCACAATTTTCTTTAAAAGTTTGATGAAATCTAATTATTTTCCCTTTGGCAGTTTCAGAGTTTTGTGTCCTGCTGAGAAATTGTTTACTTAATCTAATGATGCTAAAATATTTTCTTTGGTTTTACTCCAAGAAGGTATATGCTTTTATGTTTTCAATTTAAAATATTTTGTATGTATTTGTGTATGTTTCTGTATGTCTATGCCATATATAATGTGTGTATGCACATGTGTGTATGCATACCCATGTGTGAAGAACAAGAGAAGATATCAGACTGCCTGAAACTGGAGTTACAGGCAGGAATGAGCCATCTGACATGGGTGCTGGGAACGGAACTTAGGTCCTCTGGAAGAACAACAAGAATTGTTAACTACTGAGCCATCTCTCCAGTCCCAAATTTGACTTTTATTATATTTAGTTTTGTGACCTATTTTGAGTCCATTTTTATATAAAAGTATGAAGATTAGAGGATTTTTATATAAATATGCAGCTAACCAGAGTGTTAGTTGAAATAATATCTTTTCCTTATTGCTTTGCATTCTCAAATTCACATATTATTATCTCCCCCTGCCTTCCTTGCATTTTTATATAAAAAAAAGAATACCCAGAAATCTCAGACACTATCTTGACCCAGAGACAAGTCACAGAAAAGATATTCAGCTTGGAGTTGGATACTTGACATACAATGTGCTTTCACTTCCTTTATAAGTCACTGAAATGCTTTGCCAGTTATAAAGTGTTAAATAAATACACTATATTGTGTTTCCACCTGGAAACCCTTGTGATAAAGGCCTTCCTTGATTTGCATGATGGTACAAGGTCAAAATATGACTATGCAAAATGAAGTTTCAAAAAAATCTTAATAATCAATAGAAAAATATGATTGTTTCATGGCCCTTACAATTTTTGTCAAAGCTTTAAAAACTTTCCTGTTGAATATAAATACACAGAGAAAAATTAAAGCAAGATTTGTATTTATTTTGAATACTAATCTAAAACATTAGAAACACTGAGAATAAAAGCCCTTGCTTTTTAGTTTGAACAGGGTTTGCACTTCCTTTCAATGTATAACTCAGGGCGAGCCTCTTATTCTATCTTGATTGCCAGGACCCCTCGTACATTTGCATTTATTCCTGTCATTTTGCCCTCTGTATTTCCATTGTTGAGGAACTAGAGTTCCTGCAATGCAAAGCTTCTAGCCAGCACACTTCTAGGTGTTCTTCATCCTGGTCATCCCAAACTTCCTGCTTTTATTTTGGTAAGCCACCCTTCAGCAAGTGCCTGGATGCAGCAAAAGAGATTCTCGTTTCAATATCAAATGCTCCCAGCCAACTATTTATTCTATAAGGTCAGGTGTGTTAAATTCTAATTGTACCCCAGAATTATAATTTTTCTTTACTTTGCTGCCAATGACTGATATCTTTGTTGGTCAGTTCTATCTTAATTATCCCATTTGTAGAATGACATGTGGGTTTCTCACTGGAAGATAAAGGGCACAGCATACAACTGCATGCTTTGCTGCTTGTTCACACAACACAAACAGATTTTGAAAGAAGTCAGGTTAGTCCTTGGTATGCTGTCCATCTTTTACTGACAGTAATCTGCACACTTAGGAGTGAACAGCCATATTTGCTGTGTTTGCAGCTATTCACAGCTAATACAATGACAACTGAAAGCTGAATGTTTAAATATTTTAAACAATATATTATACAAGTAATATATGTGCATTTTAGGCTTTGGAAGGTGAAGAATAACTGAAGTGGGAAAAAATAAATAAATTTTGGCTTTCTTGACATGTCATTAGAACTTCCTCTGTATATGTGATAAAGAAACCAAAGGTGCTTTCCCACCTACACAGGCTGACACTCAGATAGATTAGATTGTGTAATGGTTGCCACCTACATTGGCTGACACTCAGATCATACTAGATTGTACAATGGTTCTCACTTACACAGGCTGACATTCAGATCACACTATACTGTGTCATGGTTTCACTTACACAGGCTGACATTCAGATCACACTAGATTGTGTCATGGCTCTTACCTACACAGGCCGACATTCAAATTACACTAGACTGTCATGTTTCCACCTATTCAGGCTGATAATCAGATCATAGTAGACTGTGTCCTGGTTCTCACCTACACAGGCTGATAATCTTCTTAGACTAGACTGTTTTATGAAGTAAGCAAATCTTAAGTCAGAACTTAGTTGAATTATAGTTTAAATAAAGCAAAAACTTTAGGATGATTTTCCTATTTTTAATCATTTAAGTGAATTTTTTTATGTCTCTATACCTCCTTGTCAACCTTTGTGCCCTGGATAGAACTCAACCAGGATCAAGTACACATACACTTTACTCATAAAATTCATTTATTCCCTCTTATAATCCTGAGAGGATCATTTTAAAACTTTTTTGACTTTCAGTTTCCTTGAAGAATAATTGCACATATTGGGATAAAAGTCAACATATGAGACCTTTGACCTTTCAGAGTAGCACCAAATGGTTTGCAACACTAAAATGTTGCACAGTAGATAGTTATGGGTCTGATTTTCAGAAGTGCTAGTGAATTTCATATTGTCTCACAGAAGATAACCAAGTACATCATTTTAACCATCTTGAGAAGGTACTCATTGATTTATAATCAAAGTTATTTAAGCTTGAATGAGCTGACAAAACACAAAGGTGTCTATTTTATCTTGACAGACACTGTCCTGCTTTGATTCTATCTAGAGAAACACAAAAATCATTAAAGCATAATTTGGAAAGTGGGAAAAGTACTCACTAACAAGACACTAGAACACTTGGGAAATCAGCACATCTAGTTCTGTGGAAAACAACAGAGGCTGAAGTGACGAGCTCTAGACGACAGGGACAACTACAGCAGAGAAAGGAGGCCATTCTTGCATGGGTTGAAGATTTAATCATTTGGAGGGAAGAAAAAAGAATGACTTTTAGAAACCTAAAGCAGGTACAGAGACAACCAGACAAATTCACCACAGAGAAATTCAGCATGACTGTAACATAGGGTGTCCTCACTATGAAAATCCCTCAGCAGCTCTTGTGAATGGGTAGGAAAGGGGCAGAATGAAGATGGAAACCATCTAGGAAGTGAGAGACACTCAATCCAGGTCGGAAGCACTGTCAACAGAGAAGGATGGGGGATTCCAAAGGCATTAGAGAGGTCAGAGGGAAAGAACTTCCAAGCACATTTTGCATATAACAAATGACCCAGCCTTCTGGCTTGAACAGTGGATGATTACGGTAAGACAGCAGTTAATAATGGAAGCTGGTAAAGTTAGTAAAAAAAAAAATAGTAAGTTTGACTTAGAAAATTTTGATTTTGAAAAGGTTGATCATAAAATAAAATTTCCATTAAGTCTGCAGTATCTTATTTTTCTTTCTGTTCTTTGTTGAGATTGACAAATATGGTGAGAAAATATACAGAAAAGAGGACACCGTTCTACCTTCTGCCCAATGCAGGGAAGCTACAGGTAGAGCTCTGTTGATATAATAAAGCTGCTGCCTATTGGGCCGTAATTGATGAGTTAGCACGAGTGTCTAGGGCAGAGGACATAAATGGCCCCACTGTATTTTAATGTTTACACAAACTCCAGGGAAGGTAACCAGGCCTTGGCTGCCAGGTGACAAATGGCAATCAGACTAACAGGCTGTATGAAGAACTCATTGACAGTACTCAGAAGAGATGCCACAGATCCTAGAATGTGCCCAGGTAATCTAGTGTTTGCTACTAGAGTTCTTCATGATAAAGTTCAAAATGTGTCATGCAGAACGTCAGTTTTTACCTTTTCCCAACTGTTAACAGGAAAATAATTTAAAATGCTCTCAGCTTACATGGAAGAATATCTCGGTATCTGTTTTTGTCTTTGTTGAGTAGTTCATTCCCAGAGCTGAAGTCATCAGGCACAGTCATCTGCTCTAACTCCTTCAGAAAGTAAAACAAACCACATATTTACCACTTAAAAAGAAGGAAACCCTCCATTTGATTAGCACTGATTATCCTTAAACTCTGTGTGGTATGACCTGCTATTCAATGTTACACAACAAACAAGAGAAATTAGAATCTTGTCTAATAAGGATGGCTGCATAGAATATACTAAGTTAAGAGAATGAATCAATGAGTTGCTTGATTTAAAAAAAAGTAATTCTCAAGATAGTTTTTTCCCTGAACACTATTGTTTACTCTTTCATTAAAAAATGAAATAAAGTATTTAATTATTAGGATCTAATTATAACACTATCATTTTATAAAAAATCTATAATAAAACATTTAAAAACCCTATAAGAAGCCTTAAAATTTACTGCTTGAAGAAATTATAGCTGGGATACGGACTAAAGAAAGCTCTTCCTTTCAAAAGAATTTTTTCTTTTTATAAGATTTATTTATTTTGCATATATGAATGTTGGATCTGATGTGTGACTTTATGCCAGAAGAGGGCATCAGACCCCACTATAAATAGCTGTGGGCTACCATGTGCTTGCTGGAAATTGAACTCAGGACCTCTGGAAGAGTGGCCAGGGCTTTTAATGGCGGGGCTATCTCTCTAGCCCCTCAAAAGAAATTCTTAAACAAGTATGAATTCACCAAAATTTATCAAGCATTTAGTTCTAGATATTGGAATAAAAAGACAAACTAGAAAAAAAATCCCATCTTTAAGCAGTGAATAAAGAATATTTATCAAATATGTGACTTACAGAAACAATAGTATTAATGATAGTGTCTAAAGATACATAAGAAAACACCAATAGAGTAAGCAGCATTTAGCCTGGGTCTTAGGGAGCTATCAAAACGGCTATGAGAAAGTAATATGAGTGGAAGGACGCAGGAAAGGTGGATGTAACATAGTAAGAAGAGTCCAGAGCATCTCATCTAGCTCAGAGATAGGATAAAACTAGGAAAGACCCTATTTCCCCAAAGCATCATTCCCTACAAGGTCCGTGGAAACCAATACTTGGTGGACATAAGAGGTGAGACAACAGTGGCCCTGGGACCCCGGACCTCCCCCCCCCACACTTCTTAAAACCTCCACATTGGAGAAAGGCCAGGGTCCCACCTTCCCCAGGTGCCTTCAGCATTCCTAGCACCAGCAGGGAACTGGTCTGCTAGGCCATCTGTCCTGCCCACAACGCATCCTTCCCTGCAAGCTCCATGGAGACCAATTCTTTGTGGACATAAGAGACATAACAGCTGAAGGAAGAGATGGGAAGGCACCAATGCAAGAACTCTTCCAACATCCTAAAAAGCAACACATTACCACCAGAACCCAGCGGACACACAATAGGAAGACTTGATCATCCTAACCCAGAAGATATAGAAGAAAATGACTTTAAACATTACTTAATGAAAATCATGGAGACCTTTAAAGAGGAAGTGAAAAACTCCCTTAAAGAAATGGAGGAGAAGACAAACAAAACCTGGAAGAAATTAATAAATCCCTCAAAGAAACCCAAGAAAATGAAGAAAAAGCAATCAAACAGGTGAAGAAAACATTTCAAGATGTGAAGACTGAAATAGATGAAATGAAGAAAACACAAACCGAGGGAACTCTGGAAATGAAAAATCTGGGTAAACGAACAGGAATTACAGAGAAAATATAACCAACAGAATACAAGAGATAGAAGAAAGAATTTCAGGCACTGAAGATTCTATTGAGGAAATAGACTCATTGGTCAAAGAAAACACTAAATCCAACAAATTCTTAACACAAAACATTCAGGAAATCTGGAACACCATGAAAAGACCAAACCTGAGAATAATAGGGGTAGAAGAAGAAGAAGCATTCCAGCTCAAAGGCACAGAAAATATATCCAAAAAAATTATAGAAACTTTCCCAACCTAAAGAAGGATATACTTATGAAGGTACAAGAAGCTTACAGAACACCAAGTAGACTGGATCAAAAAAAGCATCCCCTCGTCATATAATAATCAAAACACAAAACATACAGAATAAAGAAAGAATATTAAGAGCTGCAAAAGAAAAATGTAAAGTAACATATAAAGGAAAACCTATCAGAATTACACCTGACTTCTCAATGGAAACCATGAAAGCCAGAAGGTCTTGGATAGACATGCTGCAGACACTAAGAGACCATGGATGCAAGCCCAGACTACTATACCCAGCAAAGCTTTCATTCACCATTGATGGAGAAAACAAGATATTCAATGACAAAAACATTTAATCAATACATATGCATAAACCCAGCCTTACAAAAAATACTAGAAGGAAAGTCACAACCCAAGGAAGCTAACTATACCCACAATAACACAGGCATCTGATAACCCACCACCAGCATAACCCAAAGAAGGGAAACACACAAACACAACTACCAAAAGATAACCAGAGCTAACAACCACTGGTCATTAATATCACTTAATATCAATGGCCTCAATTCACCTATAAAAAGACACAGACTAAGAGAATGGACACATAAACAGGATCCAACATTCTTCTGTTTACAAGAAACACACCTCAACCTCAAAGACAGACACTACCTCAGAGTAAAGGGTTGGGAAAAGGTATTCCAATCAAACTGACCTAAAAAAATATGCAGGTGTGGCTATTCTAATATCTAATAAAATTGATCTCAAACTAAAAATCAATCAGAAGATATGGAAAAGGACAATATATACTCATAACAGGAACAATTCATCAAAATGAAGTCTCAATCCTGAATATCTATGCCCCTAATTCAAGAGCACCCACATATGTCAAAGAAACATTACTGAAAATTGAATTACACATCAAACCCCACACATTAATAGAAGGAGATTTCAAAACTCCTCTCTCAACAATGGACAGGTCAAACAAACAGAAACTTAACAGAGAAACAAGAGAACTAACAGATGTAATGAATCAAATGGACTTAAGAAACATTTATAGAACATTCCACCCAAACAAAAAAGAATACACCTTCTTCTCAGTACCTCATGGAACCTTCTCTAAGATTGATCACATTCTCAGTAACAAAGCAAACACCCACAGATACAAAAAAAATTGAAGTAATTCACTGCATCTTATCAGATCACCATGGAGTAAAGTTAGAATTCAACAACAATACTACTCCCAGAAAGCCTATAAACTCATAGAAACTGAACAGTCAACTACTGAACCACTCCCGGGTCAAGGAGAACTAAAGGAAAAAATTAAAATCTTCCTTGAATTCAATGAAAATGAAGTTAAAACATATCCAAACCTATATGACACTACGAAAGCAGTGCTAAGAGGAAATTTCATAGCATTAAGTGCCCACATAAGGAAAATGGAGAAAGCTTACATCAATGACCTAACTGCATGCCTGAATGCTCTAGAAAAAAAAAGAAGCAGACTCACCCAAAAGGAGAAGAAGACAGGAAATAATCAAGTTGAGGGCTAAAATCAACAAAATAGAAACACAGAAAACAATCCAAAGAATCAATGAAACAAAGCTGGTTCTTTGAGAAAATCAACAAGATTGACAAACCCTTATCCAAACTAATCAAAAGGCACAGAGAGAACACCCAAATTAACAAAATTAAAAAGGAAAAGGGGGACATAGCAATGGACACTGAGGGAATTCAGAGAATCATTAGGTCCAACTGCAAAAATCTATACTCCACAAAACTGGAAAATGTAAAAGAAATGAACAACTTTTTTAGATAGATACCACCTACCAAAATTAAATCCAGACCAGGTGAGCAATTTAAATAGACCTATAAGCTGCGAGGAGATAGAAGCTGCCATCAAAAAACCTCTCAACCAAAAAAAGCCCAAGGCCAGATGGTTCTAGTGCTGAATTCTACCAGAACTTTCAAGAAGAGCTAATATCTGTACTCCTCAAAGTGTTCCACATAATAAAAACAGAAGGTTCACTGCCAAACTCTTTTTATGAGGCTATAGTTACCCAGATACCAAAACCGCACAAAGACTCAACTAAGAAAGAGAATTACAGACCAATCTCACTCATGAACATGAATGCAAAAATTCTCAATAAAATTCTGGCAAATCAAATCCAAGAACACATTAAAAAAAATCATCCATCATGACAAAGTAGGCTTCATCCCAGAGATGCAGGGCTGGTTCAACATGTAAAAATCAATCAATGTAATCCACCATATAAATAAATTGAAAGAAAAAAAACCATATGATCATTTCATTGGATGCAGAAAAAGCATTTGATAAAATTTAGCATCCCTTCATGATAAAGAGTCTAGGGATACAAGGTCTTAGGGAGTTTAGGGATACAAGGATCATATTTAAATATAATAAAAGCAATATACAGCAAGCTGACAGCTAACATCAAATTAAATGGAGAGAAACTCAGTGATTCCATTAAAATCAAGAACAAGACAAGGCTGTCCACTCTCTCCATTTCTCTTCAACATAGTTCTTGAAGTTTTAACAATAGCAATAAGACAACATAAGGAGATCAAGGGGATTCAAATTGGAAAGGAAGAAGTTAAACTTTCGTTATTTGCAGATGATATGATAGTGTATATAAGTGACCCCAAAAACTACCAGAGAACTCCTACAGCTAATAAATACCTTCAGTGAAGTGGCAGGATATAAGATCAACTCAAAAAAAATCAGTAGCCCTCCTATACACAAAGGATAAAGAAGCTGAGAGGGAAATCAGAGAAATATCACCTTTCACAATAGTCACAAATCACATAAAATATCTTGGGGTAACACTAACAAAGGATGTGAAAGACCTATTTGACAATAAGTTTATGTCTTTGAAGAAAGAAATTGAAGAAGATACAAGAAAATGGAAAGATCTCCCATGCTCTTGGATAGGAAGGATCAACATAGTAAAAATGGCAATCTTACCAAAGGCAATCTATAGATTCAATGAAATCTCCATCAAAATCCCAACACAAATTTTCACAGACCTTGAAAGAATGATATTCAACTTCATATGGAAACACAAGAAACACAAGATAGCCAA